TGGCCTCTTGTTTCTGTGTCCCCTCCCTGGAACATCCTGTCCTTGTCCACCTTGTCTATTCCACGCAGTATTTGTATGTCGTTATCATGTCTCCCCTGACCCTCCTGTCCTGTGTGTGTGTGTGTGTGATAAAAACTTGCAGACTTGGCTAATTCGGCAACAATCGTTTTGCCCAGCAAGGCCCCTTCTGGTACGTGTAAGTTTATTTAGGTACAGGTACACATCAAGTACAGTTATCATACATAGTGTGAATTACCTAGGATAACAACTCCTCCCCATAAAAAGTCAGACAGTGACTTATTTCAATAGGGTCCTTGATATTTTCATATGATGGAGAAAACCCGAGATAACTAAGTAACTCCATCCCTTTGAGAAGTGAATTATTAGCATCATACTACAAGATATAGGAAGTTAATATACAAATATAATTTGTGGAACACCGCATAAATCACGGAACGGGTGGGGTTTGAACCCACAGTAGGCGAGTCCTAATACTCACCAACATTTTTAGGGTAAAAAGACCCTGCATGACCTGACGTGAGCAGGGTTTCTCATTTTCAGGACAGATAAGATTTTCGGATTTTTAACCCCGGAGGGTTAGCCACCCAGGATAACTAATGAAAAGTCATCGAGGGACTGTCTGTCTTATTTCCATTGTTGTCCTCAATCTTGTCCCCCAGGATGCGACCCACACCAGTCGACTAATACCCAGGTACCTACTTGCTAGGTGAACAGGACAACAGGTGTAAGGAAACGAATCGAAATGTTTTCACCCCGCCGGGAATCGAACCCAGGCCCTCTGCGTGCGAGAGCTTTGCCAGCCAGGAAAACCCTAGGCCTGAGCACTGCGATTCGAGAGTTTTCCTATTCTAGTTCTTTCCCAATGGGAGACCTGTTGAGGTTCCTCTTGTTATTTTGTTTCCTAGTTTAATTTTGGACTTTGTTGGGGACCCCAAACAAGGTATATAAACACCGGGAGGTGTATGTCTCGGTGTATACATATTGAGTATTCTTGACTGGTGTTGTACAGGTGAAATGCCGCCTTAGTGACCCTCCTGAAATTTACAGGCTTTCAATCTAACAACAGACTTTTCATTATCAAGACAAATTCTTTTCAATGCTGGGTGTGAACCTCCCTGACTACGTATAAAAATACTTTGCTTGCAATTATGGGGAAAGCGCTAAACAAGGAAGGCTTCATACAGTGCCTGGGGAATGGCAGCAGTAGTGTTAATCAGGATTGATGCGAGGAAGAGGATGGCTCCAATTTCTTGGTTGAAGAATCCTTCACCAGAATCAAGACGCCCCCTTAAATTTTCTTGAAATATATTGAACAGCTTCATCAACGAGGCTGCTGCCGCCTGAGACTGGCAGGGTATTGTGAACTTGCTGTATGTGCTCCCAAAGTGAGATTACTCACTCAACATGGATGGATGGGTCCAAGCACGCCACGTTATGTCAGACACAGATGTACGCACGCATACATACGCGCAAATACATATCCACGTACACATACGCACATGTATCAATACGCATTTATCAATACGCACATGTATCAATACGCACATGATATACGTACACACATACATACGAAGACGCATGCACTTGCAGACATATACATGCCCTGACGAATCAATACACACCTATCAAACGTGCTCGTTTGCATACGTATGCACATATATACGTACGCATACACATACGCACCCGCAAGTGCAATGAATTGGATGAAAAGTGGAAGAGGCAAATTTAATACTCAATTTCACAAGATATGTTACAATAAAAGTTTTTTTATATACTAGCATTACTGAATTATTATACGTATGGGGAAGCGCTAAACCCGTAGGGATCATACAACGCCTTACGACTGAGGAGTGATCAGAATTTATCCAAGGGGAGAGTAGCCCCCAAATTCTTTGGATCAAGAGCCCTTCACCAGCATCAAGGCCTCTTCCCTTTAAAGGGTAAAATCTGAAGTATTACCTATTGTATCTCTGTGATAATTGCCACAAAATGTTGTCCAAGATGATTTGAATATTTGCACACCCTAATATACCTAAACTGTGTTAAATTAAGATATTCTGTATTCAAGAGACCCCTCGGGGAAGGTTCCTTGATGCTGGTGAGGGGCTCTTGATCTTGGGAATTGAATCTGTGCTCCAGTTCCCTGAATTGAGTCTGAATACCTTCCATTCCCCCCCTCTCCCCATAGGCACTGTATAATCCCTACGGGTTTAGTGCTCCCCATGATTATAATATTCAAGAGAAGCGATGTGTGACCCTTAGGGGTTTAGCGCTTAGTGATTATAATAATCTATATTCAAGAACCAATGCAGCTCTGAACGACCCATACGAATTTGTCTCGTGTGTGAGAAGGCGCTAAACCCGTACATGTCACACAATCAGGTTCGAGCCGTGGAAGGGAAGAATACATCCAATTTCTTGGATCAAGAACCTGTCACCAGCCTCAAGGCACCTCCCCTGAACCTGAAGGGATAATAATCAAAAAGTATACGTAAACTCGCCTATAAGATAAATAACGCACTCGAGGCCTACAAGATCATCACTAAACACGTAATTCTTAATAAGAAACACACAAGCTTACATATACACAAATATTGCAGTTGAGAAAAAGAGTTCAAGTGGATTTTAAGGTGCAGATCCTACTACTACATCCTCACTTGAACACATGTGAAGGTAGACTGCTGGGGCCTGGGGCAGCTAACACGTGTTACATCACCGCCACTACCTCGCTCACTACTGCATAACTTACACGTAGTTCCTTATTTATTATTAAATATTATATAACTTTATATGAAAACGCTAAATTTATTCGATGGGGAGAGCTGGCCCAGTTACCTATGTTAAATGTTAACCCCCCCCCCCCGCGCCTCAGTTAACTTGGTGATGTTAAAAAGTTCCTTAGCATCTGCTGCTCCTGTTTACCTAACAATCAATAGGTACTTAAGTTTTAAACGGCTGTTGTGGGTAACATCCTGGGGAAGACCCTAGGACTTCAGAGGAAATAAATAACAACGCTTGCTCTTTTGGATTTATTATTACATTCATGGGGGAGCACTAAACCCATAGGAACCTACTTTGGGTTAATAGATCAATTAATGTCTCCTTTTCCGGCTGAAATATCTTTATTTCTACAAGTACATGTACAAGGTATACAGGCCTAGCGGACATCAATGACATACTACTATGTAGAAAGACACTTGTTATGCAGAGCATTTCGGGCAAATTGGTCAATTTTTGTTCGGGGATGCAACCCACACCAGTCGACTAACACCCAGGTACCCATTTTATACTGATGGGTAAACATAGACAACCGGTGCAAGGAAACATGCCCAATATTTTCGCCTTCGCCAGGCATCCTACCCGGACCTTCACCGTGTGAAGCAAGAACTTTTGCCACCAGGCCACGGGCCACGTTACACACATTAATATATATTCTTTCAACAAACCGGCCATATCCCACCAAGGCAGGGTGGCCCAAAAAGAAAAACTGAAGTTTCTCTTTTGAAATTTAGTAATTTATACAGGAGAAGGGGTTACTTGCCCCTTGCCTCTGGCATTTTAGTTGCCTCTTACAACACGCATGGCTTACGGAGGAAGAGTTCTGTTCCACTTCTCCATGGAGATAAGAGGAAATAAACAAGAACAAGAACTTGAATCCTGGAAATGGGAAGTACTATGCCTGTACTTATCCCAATGCCAATATCCCAAACCCCTCCTTTAGGAGGGGTTTGGGATATTGGCAGTTTGGAGGGACATCTAAACTATAGTATCTGAGTGCCTCTACAAAGATAGTGATTATGTATGAGTGATGGTGAAAGTGTTGAATGATGAAAGTTTTTTTTCTTTCTTTTTGGATCACCCTGCCTCGGTGGGAAACGGCCGACTTGTTAATAAGAAAAAAAAAAGAACTAGTAAGAAAAGAAAAGAAAACCCAGAGGGGTGTGTGTACATGCAAGTGTAGTATGACTTAAGTATAAGTAGCAAGACATACCTGAAATCTTGCAGTTTATGAGACAAAAAGACACCAGCAATCCTACCACCACATAAAACAATTGCAGGTTTCTGTTTCACAATCACTTGGCAGGATGGTGGTACCTCCCAGGGCGGTTGCTGTCTACCAACCTACCACCTAATATAGATAAATATATCTGAGTTCTCTTCTATTTTCTTAACAGTTCTTGTTCTTTATTGCCTTTCATTTCCATGGGAAATTGGAAAAAAAATCCTTCCTCCATAAGCCATGTGTGTCATAAGCCATGCGACTAAAATGCCGGGAGCATGGAGCTAGTAACTCTTTCTCCCGTTTAAATTACTAAATGCAAAAAGAAACTCAAAATTTTTTCTTATTAGGTCACTCTGCCTTGGTCGGATATGGCCAATGTGTTTGTGTGAGCGGTGTAACATTGGTGAAGGGATTCAGGGAAACCAGTTAGCCGGACTTGAGTCCTGTAGGTGGGAGGTACAGTGCCTGCACTCTAAAGAAGGGCTGGGAATATTTGCTGTTTGGAGGATCATCTGAACTGTTGCATCCATGTATCTCTGGTAAGACAGGGATAGGATGAATGATGGCAAAAGTATTTCTCTTTTTGGTTACCTTACCTTGATGGGAGACAGCCAGCATATTAAAAAAAATTATTTACTGATGATAATAAGCATTGTAAAATGTCCAAAGCATTTCCTGAATATCTGCTGTAATATGAAAATCACATAATAAAAACACTAACTGAAATACAGTGGACCCCCGCATAACGATCAGCTCCCAACTCGACCAATTATGTAAGTGTATTTTTGTAAGTGCTTTTGTAGGTGTATTTTTGGGGGTCTGAAACGGACTAATCTAATTCACAATATCTCTTATGGGAACAAATTCGGTCTATAACGGCACCCAAACAGACTTCTGGATTGAAATAATATTGTTATCCGGGGGTCCACTGTACATACAACTATATACCATGGAGGAGAACAAAACAAACTCAAGGTCATTTTTTTTATTGTTACAACAAATAATTATGTACATAATAATAATGTTGTTATTGCTTCTATAAATTTACAGCAATTAGCATTCTAACTTAATTCCTAAATCATGTGAAGTATTTAATAAATGATGACATGTAAAAAATATGCTAATTAAAAATGGCAGTAACATGTACTTTTACAGTCTTTTCAATTGCATTCAAATACCTAAACATTCTTCAGCATCTGCTCCTCATTTTCTAGTTAGCTGGCTTGCACAGTGTGTGTGTGTGAAATTACTGGTAGTTATAACTACAAATAAGTACCAGTAATTTCACACATACACACATACACTGTGCAAGCCATTTAACTAGAAAATGAGGAGCAGATGCTGAAGAATGTTCAGGTATTTAAATACAATTGAAAAGACGGTGTAAAAGTACAAGTTACTGCTATGCTCATAGTGTTCTCTTTTAAGTGTTTATTGTCCTAAATTTTTTAAATACATATGGTTGTAGCATTTACTACCTCCTCTTCTATCCCATTCCACTCTTCAATTACTCTTGAGTTTTTTCAAATATTTTTTCTGTTTACAACTGTGGTCTTGTATTCTTCCCCCAATGATACCTGGAGTATACATGGAGGGTGTTCTGAAGGCAAACGCCCCTGTGGCGCAGTCCATGACCAGGCCTCGTAGTGGATCAGGGTCTGATCAACCAGGGTGTTACTGCTGGCAGCAGGCAAGCCAACATACGAACCACAGCCCAGCTGGTCGGGTACTGATTTTAGATGTCTTTCCAGTTCCCTCTTGAAGACAGCTAAGAGTTCAATACCTCTTCTTTTGCATACTTTCATGACCTTATGTATATGTAGTTATTCTGTTTTCTCTTTGTGCATTTACTTAAATCTATATGTTTCTGGGTATCAAGCTTTAACATATGGCCAAGCCACATAAGTGTTGTTGAATAGCATTACTGGTTTCTGGTCATTTGAGCCCTATCATACCTCTTTGAAACTGTGAATTCAGTTTGCTTTCACTACTTCTACCTCTGGTTAATTCCACCTCCCTATTGCCATGAGACTGAAAAACCACAGCTCAGTGTGTCAGTGATTTATCTGTGATTTTAGCTACCAACTATGCCCCCACATTCCTGGTCCTTGCATTCCTAACAGTCTGTATCTATCTGCCCTATCAATTCCTTTATGTATCTATTTGTGGCTTCATGAGAATACCTGTGCTAGTATGCTTATAGCACAAAGAAAAAGTAAGCCAAGTTTAATTAGCAAATGAATCCTTGTCTATTACATCACACTGGCATGTACTGCTCAAATTTACAATTCACGGAGCTTCTCATTCCTTAGCAAATGGATTGACACGGGAGAGCCAACTTTTGTTAGATCTGAAATAAATATGAATACAGTTTAGTTATAGAGCTATTAATGATAAATCCGACACTGTATTAACCCTTAAGCTGACAAAAGGAATAAACATGCCCTCAGTGCAGGAGATTTTGAAAAATCAAGAAATTATTTGTACAGTATTTACCAAAAAATTCTTCCAGATTTTAGAAGTGCAATAAAACAAGAATTAGTGAAACATGATTTATGGAGATGTGAAGGTGACAATGGTTATATCATTATGGTAACATGAGTACTTCCCAGATGAAGGAAGCTGCTGTGGAGTGTGAGGAGGGTAATATTTTGTGAAGGGATTCAGGGAAACCAGTTAGTCAGACTCGAGTCCTGGAGGTGGGACGTATAATGCCTGCACTTTAAAGGAGGGGTTTGGGATATTGGCTGTTTAGAGTGACATCTAAACTGTTGCATCTGAATGAATGATGGTGAAAGTGTTGAATGATGATGATAGTTATTTCTTTCTTTTTTTGGGTCACCCCTGCCTCAGTGGGAAACGGCTGTGTTAAAAAAAGAAAGCAGTGTCAAAATTGTCTGTCACTAGTTTAGTAACTTCACTGCCATAGTTTAACATGCTAGTCTCACTGGGTGAAAAGCATAGAAAGAAATAAGACATTTAAAAACAATTTTTTTCTTTACCTTTCTAGCTTCACATCCTCATTTTCTTGCTCTTTATTCCTCAAAAATTCAATGAACTCTCCTCTAAAGTTATGTTTCAGAGGCTGAGGTCGGTTAGCCATCTCTTCAATAAGTTTCTGTTTAGTAGCTGCTTCTTTGAGTGTTAAACCAAACCACTCAGCTTCATTTTCCTAATGTAAAAATAAAAATTCATTGATATTATACTAAATTGAATTTTCAAATCTCAAATCATAGAATGAGATGAATTTTTTATATTACTGCATCTCACATGGCAATTTTTTCTTAAATTTCCCTGGAAATCTAATCTTACCTAGACTACTAAAATATATAGATACTGTATATCTAAAGAGGAAAATGCATCAGAGTACTGTACTGTACTCGCCAATATGTGGTCACAGGGATTGGGCTTCAGCTCCTAGCCCTTCCCCTTCACTGGTTGCTACTGGCTTCTAGAACTCCTGGCTTCTAGAACCTTACTGTGTCTCTTCTTAAATCTATATATGGATCCTGCTACTCCCACTTCATCCTCCAGGCTGTTCTATTTCCTGACTACTCCAAGAATGAAGAAATACTTTTTAATCCGTGACTCATCTCTGTTTTCAACTTCCGGCTGTGCCCTCATGTCCGTTTCCTGTCTCTCAAACAATCTGTCCATGTCCACACTATTAATTCCTCTAAGTATTTTGTACACTGTAATCATGCTATCATATAACCCTTTAACCTATCCTCATTGGACATACCCCTCAGTAAACCTCTGCACTTTCTCCAATTTCTTGACATGACTGACCAGGTGTGGGTTCCATACTGGTGCATACTCCAATGTGGGCTTGACATACACTGTATACAGTATCATGAGTGTTTCTTTTCTTACATGTGTAAAAGCTAGTCTCAGATTTGCAAAACAAACATTTGCTGCAGCAGTTAGTCAGTTGATATGTGCTACAGGCAAAATAATCAGACCAGACACTGCAGCCTGTCCTGATTCAGTTGTACAGGTGTAGGCTTTCCTGGTCCTCATTTGCTTGTATTCTTATTAGTTTCACATCTGTGAATAGGGTTGTTTCTCGCCCTCTATCCGTTTTGTCACATTATTCACATATACAGTGGACCCCCGGTTAACGATATTTTTTCTCTCCAGAAGTATGTTCAGGTGCCAGTACTAACCGAATTTGTTCCCATAAGAAATATTGTGAAGTAGATTAGTCCATTTCAGACCCCCAAACATACACGTACAAACGCACTTACATAAATACACTTACATAATTGGTCGCATTCGGAGGTGATCGTTATGCGGGGGTCCACTGTACTACAAGAAATAGTACTAGTCCTAGTACTGAACTTTGTGGAACCCCACTCATCATATTCACCCATTCTAACACCTCTTAGACAATCTCCCACTATATCCTTCCTGTTAGGTATGCCTTGACCCTTTGTCATGCCTTTCCTCTTATTCCTGCCTGTTGCTCTAGCTTTTGTCCCAGTCTCTTGTATGGCACTGTGTCAAAATCTTTTATACAGTCCAAGAAAATGCAATTTTCCCTTCCCTCTCCCTCAAGGTAACAGAAGTAAGGCTTCTGTTACCTTGCTGTAGAACCCCAGCATTTCAGTAATACTTATCACAATAATAATTTTTTAACAGATACAGTAAGTTACATTTGATAAATTAGACACATGTGCAACTCTTGGGTATCTTTATTGAGGAAACGTTTCGCCACACAGTGGCTTCATCAGTCCATACAAAGGAGAATCTTGAAGAACAGGAGGAGAATGAGGTAATCAGTCCCTCAACCTTGAGTCGATGTGGTCAGTCCATCAATCAATGGACTGACCACATCGACTCAAGGTTGAGGGACTGATTACCTCATTCTCCTCCTGTTCTTCAAGATTCTCCTTTGTATGGACTGATGAAGCCACTGTGTGGCGAAACGTTTCCTCAATAAAGATACCCAAGAGTTGCACATGTGTCTAATTTATCAACATGTCGGTTCTCTGAACCATTCATCTACAAGTTACATTTACCCAATACATATTTACTCACAGGAATTATATACTTCTGATACTTGTCAAGTATTTCTTGTTTCATTGATGGGTTATCAGGATATAGTGTTCCTCTCACTAATGTCAATAGCATTTCTCTTCTCAACTTCAGTGCTAATTCAGACATCAGATCTGCTGGTGGAGTCTGTAAAAATAAATAAAAATACTTAAAGAATATGACAAATATATGACAGTTTATACTACCAAGAAATGGGGTGAAACCATGACAGTAAGGTGCACTTTAATGAATAATGTTTTATTCATGCTTTCCTCTATAAAAAACATTAGCTTCCCATGCTAAAAATCTTTGCATTACCCTAAGTGTGAAAATATTGTCTTAGTTCAGTAAAGCTGTGTTATATACGATGAACTAGGACCATTTGAGTATTAAGTTCTTCTAACATTATTCTTATTTCCCTACATTATAATTATTTCCCTGCCATCATATACTAGCAATTTTCAGCTAAGATTATTATCAATTCCCTACCATCATTAGCAATTTTCAGTAATCTTAAAAATTTTCTATCAATACAAATTTGCTGCTATTGTGGTTAGTTTACTGTCATACTATATTACAGTAATCAAAACAATTTATAATTCAAAATTATATTCATAATACATTATTTAAGATCACAGCAAAGTTTGACACAAGATGAAAGTTCTCTAAGTCCAAAAAATGGGTAACGAGAATCCTGCATCGAGGGCTCTAGTGAAAGAGACCACTCACACTCATCACTGATTTCGAGGATTCTTCTATTCTCACAACCTGGCCTGAGACCAGATTTTATCTTTGATTGCTTGATCAGTCAGGCTCTTACTGTTAGTAGCCCACAGGCCTACACAGGCATCACAACTATTGCTGATCAGGCACATGCAGGAGATAATGTCAGGTTTCTTCTAAGAACCTACCAGTAATACAGTGGACCCCCGACATTCGATATTAATCCATTCCTGAGAGCCATCGAATGTCGAAAATATCAAAAGTCGAATTAATTTTCCCCATAAGAAATAATGGAAATCAAATTAATCCGTGCAAGACACCCAAAAGTATGAAAAAAAATTTTTACCACATGAAATATTAAGTTTAATGCAATAGAATAATTACAATAACAACAATAACAATAGAATAATTGACACTTACCTTTAATGAAGATCTAGTGATGACTGATGGAATGGGAGGAGGGGAGTGTGTGGATGGTGTTAGTGTCTAGAAGGGGAATCCCCTTCCATTAGGACTTGAACTGGCAGCCTCACCATGTCTTACCACACTGTGTATGCCACTACGATTCTTAAATCTTTCAAACCAACCTTTGCTGGCCTTAAATTCACTCACATCACCACTAGTTGCAGGCAATTTCTTTACCAAATCATCATGCACTCCGGCACACGCACTACACTTTCGTACGTTGCAATTATCTCTTTTCTTCATTTCAACAGTCATTAGCACCTTTTTTCTCGAAGAGTTGGCACTAGAAGCTTTCTTGGGGCCCATGGTTACTTATTTTGCAGAAACAAGCACCAAAAACAGTGATAATGTGGATAATATGGAATGTACCGAATGTATCCTTAGATGCGCGCACAATGGCTGGCTTGTAAACACTGGCACACACGGGGCAGTTCAGGCCACACGTGGACACGTCTCGTACGAATCGTATCGAATGTCGGGTTTTCCATCGAATGTCGAGGCAAAATTTTTGCGTTAAAATGCATCGACTGTCGGATTTATCGAATGTCGATACCATCGAATGTCGGGGGCCCACTGATTTTTCACATAGATTTCTAAATTAGAATTACCAAGGAAGGACATTCCACGAGTTAGAAAATTCACATTCTGGATAGCAAGGTGTAGATTCCCAGACCAAGACACAGGTTGAGATACAAGGAAAAAACATGTACAGCCTCTCCTCACTGAACAACGGAGTTCTGTTCCTAAGACTACGTTGGTAAATGAATTCATCACTGAGTGAGGAGCATACTATAATGGTAGTAGGATTGTGTCATCTATCTTTGATTTTGTTTAAATGTAACCTTTGCACCATTTATAAAATTTCTGGTATATTTTGAAATGTTTATACAGTAGTGTACTGTATACTGTAATAAAGGGAATAGAGGAAATCAACTCTAATATACGTACATTATTTAGGTATGAATACTGGTCAGAGAGCCTGTCATAAGTCCGAGTCGTCGGTAAACAAGTACAGTGGTCCCTCGCTTTTCGTAGTTCTCGGCAATCGTAAATTTCGCCAATCATAAAGGTATTTTCGTATAAACATGGACTCGCTTTTCATAGGTTGACTCGCGAATAGTAGTTCGTCCGGACGCGTACGCACGGTGTGAGCCGGGGCGGCCTCCCTATCCAGCCAGTCTGGCATTGTTTACCAGTGAGTGAAGGTCCCCTCAAGTGCTCCTACGAAATATTTCATAATATTCCACTCATTTTAGTGCTTGCAATTACTAAATAAGCTACCATGGCTCCAAAGAAAGCTCCTAGTCCCAAGCCTGTGGTAAAGAAGGTGAGAAATATGTACAGTGACAAAGTTTTGGGCCATTTTAGGGAATTGTAAAAGAGATGCCAGAAACAGAGCTCTCTCCACAGTTACTTTGCGAGACAGGACTAGAGTGACTCTCAAGGTGGTCCTAGTGGCATTAAGAAACAGAGAAGAGAAGCAACCCCAGAGAAGCAATTGGTACCTGAGGTGTTGCTGGAAGGGGATTCCCCTTCCAAACTGTAAACAATCCAATCTCTCTCCTCCTCCAGTCTCCCATACACTAAGAATCTCCAATAAAGGTAAGTGTTATGCTGTTAATATTTCATTCATCATTTCCCATTGTATTGTTTATGTACTATATGTATATTTCATGTAAAAATTTTTTTGTTTTAATACTTCTGGGTGTCAGGAACGGATTAATTGTATTTACATTATTTCTTATGAGGAAAATTGATTCGAAAATCGTAAATTTCGTTTATAGTAGCTCCTCCAGGAACGGATTAATTACGAAAAACGAGGGACCACTGTACATCACTAAGTGAGGAGGGGCTGTACTTACCTGCAAAATGTAATTATCAAATCCATAATGCTCATCAATCAGCCGGAGAGCTCTGTCTGTCACTTGAAGACGCATGTACCTATCTAGGATTTCAGAATAAACTACAGACATCACAACTGTAGGAATCCAGTAATGAGGAACACGCCTCTTCCTCCTGAAATTTTTGTAATAAAATTAAAGTACATCTCTGAAACTGTGTATATATAACAACGACATGTACAGGAAGCTTTTATCTAGGAGACATTTTGTCCACCAAGGGCTTTTTCAATTCAATTAATTGAAGAAGCTTCTGGTGGATGAAACATCCCCTAAATAATATTTCTTGAAAATGAGTCTTCTTTACACATTTGTCAGTACTACCTTGCATGATATACATCTCTGGAACTACTATCTGCATCGATAAATTGTCAAAATTTATCAAAAATGTTTAAAATATGTAATCACACAGTATTCATACAGTACAGCTAACCTACTTGCATATGGTACATATGTAAATAGCTTAGCTGTACTGTACATATGGTACATATTTCCTAACAATAAGCATGCTAGAGATCTAGAATAAAAGTTCAGTACAGTATAAACTGTATTTATTTAATTTGGTAAATAAATGATAAAATTTTTCAATCAAACAAGAAACAAGATTTGAAAATAACATAAGCAAACTGATGTATGTACAATAATCTCTATGTACTGTATATATAAATTCTCCTATCTAGGTTTTGTTAAATATCCCATTTTTTGTGATCTGATCCCATAATCAATGTACTACTTGTACTAGCACTGTAAATTTACAGCATACCACAGATATGCCAACCTCAACTATCTTAGTTGAAGTTGGCATAGTTTAGAAGCATTGTTATATTTTCAACGACACTTTGTGTCAGAAATTATCTATTAAATTAATTTCACATGCATACATTCTATGCTTCATGTGATTCTTTGAGTAAATTTTTGATGAAGTTCAAAATTTTGAAAACTTGGTCACTAACAGTTTAGCCAGTGTTGAACTTACGAATTAGGCTTTAGAAATCCCTTCAAGATAGCTTCTCCACCCCATATGCCCTGGTGAAGCTCCTTGGGAAATTTGAGTAGAAGCGGAACATCCTGAGAGACTTTTCTGCAAATGTCAAAAGAAGTAAAATCAGCATCACAAATTCTGCAGTGCTTTACATTTGGGTTATAATACTAGTACAAACTACAAATTCTGCAGTATGTACTGACAATCCAAATGAAATACTGCAAAGGAATAGCATATATAATGCATGAAGTCACAGGGAAAACATGGTAATACAGTACAGTACATACTGTATGTGAAAAATAAGTTCCAGCATCATGGCTGCAACTATACACAACCCACAAATTCTTTATAAAACTTCCGATAGATGTTTTAGTTCAACAATTGCAACTAAATAACGATTCAAAAGTGACAGTGTCTAATGTTTTACCTCAAATTTTAGGCATTTTCATTTATTTTATCCATTATCGCATCTCTTGTTTATTACATATTACATTTGCAAAAGATGTTGCACTTGCTGTAAATTTCAGGTACAGTATATCAAACAAATACAGCCTCTCCTCACTTAACGATGGAGCTCCGTTCCTAAGACCACGTAGGTAAATGAATTCGGTACTAAGTGAGGAGCATACTACGTATAATGGTAGTGGGGTTGTGTCGACTATCTTTGATATTGTTTTAATGTCACCTATGCACCATTTATAACATTTCTGGTATATTTTTAAATGTTTGTACAGTAGTGTATGTACTGTATATTGAATTAAACAGAATGGAGGAAATCAGCTCTAATATACAGTGGACCCCCGGTTCGCGATACTAATCCATTCCTGAGAGTTCATCGTAAACCAAAAATATCGGAAAGCAAATCAATTTTCCCCATAAGAAATAATGGAAATCAAATTAATCCATGCAAGATACCCAAAAGTATGAAAAAAAAAAACTTTTACCGCATGAAATATTAAGTTTAATGCAATAGAATAGTAATTACAATAACAACAATAACAATAAATAACAATAAATAACGAAAGAATAATTGACACTTACCTTTAATGAAGATCTGGTGAAGATTGATGGGATGGGAGGAGGGGAGAGTGTGGATGGTGTTAGCATTTAGAAGGGGAATCCCCCTCCATTAGGACTTGAGGTAACAAGTCCTTTTCCAGGGTTACTTCCCTTCTTCTTTTAATGCCACTAGGACCAGGTTGAGAGTCACTGGACCTCTGTCGCACAACATATGTCCATTGAGGCCTGTACCTCTCGTTCCTTATGACTTTCCTAAAGTGGTTCACAACATTGTCAGTGTAATAGTCACCAGCACGGCTTGCAATAGCTGTCTGAGGGTGATTTTCATCCATAAAGGTTTGCACTTCAAGCCACTTTGCACTATACAACCTGACCAGCTCCGACACACGCACTCCACTTTCGTACTTTGCAATTATCTCTTTCTTCATTTCAACAGTCATTAGCACCCTTGGTCTCGAAGGGTTGGCACTGGGAGCTTTCTTGGGGCCCATGGTGACTTATTTTGCAAAAACAGGCACCAAAAACAGTGATAATATGGATAATATGGAATGTACCGAATGTATCCTTAGATGTGCGCACACTGGCTGGCTTGTAAACACTGGCACACATGGGGCAGTTCAGGTCACACATGGACACGTCTCGTACGAACCACATCGCATACCGGGTTTTGTATCGGGAAGCGAGGCAAATTTTCTGCGATATAATGCATCGGTTACCGGATTTATCGGATACCGATAGCATCGCGAACCAGGGGTCCACTGTACATTATTTAGGCATGCATACTGGTCACAGAGCCCGTCATAAGTCCGAGTTGTCAGTAAACGAGTACGTCGCTAAGTGAGGAAAGGCTGTACCAAGTTCTTAGACAAACAATGGAACACTAATAAATTTAGGCAAAACAGAGAAGCATCTAAAGACTTGTTATCAAATGGCTCCCCAGTGATAAGAAAAATGAGTTATATACTTATCTGGAAACACAATTAAAATACTACCTCTATTATTTGACAGAAGGAATAGAAGAGATTACACAAATAACATGCACATAAGAGAGAGTAGCTTATATGAAGATGTTTTGGTCTGACTTGGACCATTTACAAGCCACAGTGTGACTTGTAAATGGTCCACGTCGGACCAAAACATCGTCATAAGCTTCTCTCTCCTATGTGTGGGTTAGTTGTGTATTGTACCAGTCATGGTATTGTGCCTTTTTGTTCTGAAAAGAGGAGATAATGACAACCATACAGGATCAAAATGTTGAATGACTTTATTGATATTTCTTGGCAGCGGGAAGTAATGGTAAAGGCTTCAGAGGCTTCTTGCTTTATTTGCAATGTCGAGGGGTACACAGGCAGTGTGTTAAGTGCCCATGGCCCGGGAGGGCCATGCCCAGCAAGGGAGAGGAGGAGTGAGGCCTGTTGGGTGAGTTTAGGCCGCTGAGTGAGGCAGAGGCAGGGGTGGGCATACTGAAGTGGTAGGCCTATAGGTGGCAGCACCAGCATGGCGCAAAATATGTACTCAGCTGGCAGACAGCATGGGCTCTCTATGCAGACAGTACAGGCTGTCTACAAAAAGAGGATTCCAGAAAATGGATAATAAATTCTTTGACAATACAGTAATGTGTGTGTGGCTATTCTGGGAGGTGGTAATATGTACTTAGATTATTCTTAGTTCATCAATAAATTTCATTTGATTTAATTTTTTTTTTTAACAAACCGGCCGTATTCCACCAAGGCAGGGTGGCCCAAAAAGATAAACGAAAGTTTCTCTTTTTAAATTTAGTAATTTATACAGGAGAAGGGGTTACTAGGCCCTTGCTCCCGACATTTTAGTCGTCTCTTACAACATCCATGGCTTATGGAGGAAGAATTCTGTTCCACTTCCCCATGGAGATTGATTTAAATGCTTTGTGTAATTATGTAATCTTCAAATATTATTATTTATATACCCAATCTTGTAACACTTAAGTACTTCTTACATAAATGTTACAAGATTGCAAAATAAATTATTACAGTTCTATTATTATTATTGCCAATCAGCCTGTGTTGTTATTATTAATTTTTAACATGCTGGCTGTCTCCCACCAAGGCAGGGTGACCCAAAAAAAGAAACACTTTCACCATTATTATTGTTTTTGCTATTATTATTGCTATAATATTAAAGTAAATTATTCACTCATCAATTAAAAACTAAGAAATAAAATAAGATTTTGCAATAACAATTATAAAAGTTATCACTTACACTTCTCCACTTGGTAACTTTACAAAACTCCCTTTTTTAGGAATATAATGAACTGGTGACTTGGGTGCAATCTGCCACTCCCAAAAAAATTTCTTGTAGTGTTCTGGGACTCTGCTTAAATGGTTTTCTTTTTTAAACACTCCCAGATGATTCCATGGCTTTGTCAATGCTTCTCGCACAACTGCTGCGGATGCTCTAATAGACATCTGAAAATATATGAAAGTTAAAGTTACATCTAACAGTGTGAAATTAAAGAATCATTTTTCAGTTTAAGGAAAAACAAATTTGATCTTACACTAAGTTATCTAAAGGAATGTACATATTTTTTTTTTTTTCAACAAATCGGCCGTCTCCTACCGAGGCAGGGTGACCCAAAAAAGAAAGAAAATCCCCAAAAAGAAAATACTTTCATCATCACTCAACACTTTCACCACACTCACACATTATCACTGTTTTTGCAGAGGTGCTCAGAATACAACAATTCAGAAGCATATACATATGAAGATACAACATATCCCTCCAAACTGCCAATATCCCAAACCCCTCCTTCAAAGTGCAGGCATTGTACTTCCCATTTCCATATGGTTATTATATTCATGGGAAGCACTAAACCTGTAGGGGTTATATGGTGCTTGGAGGAATGAGAGACAACCAGGTTTGATTCAAGGAAAGGGAGCTCAGGTCTAATTCCCTGAATCAAGAGCCCCTCACCAGCATCTAGGAACCCTCTTTGCAGGGGTATGCATATGATACTACCTTACATAATAATGTTTGGAAGAATGAAAAACTTGAATTACTATGAATAACTGTCTGTATAACCTATGTTAGACCAGTATAGTACTAGACTCTGAGTTAGATTTGCCAAGCATGGGCATAGATTTATGTTGAAATTACCAGCAATCATTAGGTGATTGTTACTGAGTTTGTTGTTTATTATCATATTATTTATTACCATTCGTGACCTGCTTTCTGTTCTAGTGTTAGATACTCCAAGCTGTTACAAATTAAGTCTTTTAGTGGACCACAGAAAACAATACAACTCAATAAGTGCAAGGACCAAGATTTTTCAACACCCTCCTTCATACATAAGCAGAAATGCCAACAGATTTTAAAACCATTTTCAGGAGGGACATGAACAAGTTTTTCAAGTTAGTTCTGATCAGTCAGGCTGTGGTGTAAATGTAAGACTGTGTGACTAGCATTAACAACCTGGTTGATGAAGCTATCAACAAGGAAGCCTGGTCTAGAAACAGATTGCAAGGGAGGTGACCCTTTGTATCTTCTTCAGGAAGCCTTCATGCAACTTCAGATTCTCACTGAAGCTTAGTACAGTGGAACCTTGGTTTTCGTGATTAATTCGTTCCAGAGAATCTGACGAAAACCGAAATGTACAAAAACTGAAGCAATATTTCCCATAAGAAATAATGTAAATCCAATTAACCTGTTCCACACACCCAAAAATATTAACAAAGAATACATTTTATAGAGAATAACTATAGCTTTACATACAGAAAACAATGAGAAATAAATATAAATGACTAATGAAATGGATAAATGAACATTTAACATCACTTGTACCTTTACTGAAGACTCTTGTTTGCATATGGAAGATGGCGAGGAGAGGGAAGAGGAGAGGTTAATGTTTGGAAGGAGAATCCCCTTCCATAAGGACTTCAGATATCATAGCCCTATCTGGGGTTACTTCCCTTCTTTGTCGTTTACTGGCAGTAGGACCAGCTTGAGTCACTGTACCGCTGTTGCACAAAAAAATCTGTCCAGGGAGGTCTGTTTCTGGCGTCTCTTTAAGATCTGCTTAAAATGGGACAAGGCATTGTCACTGAACATATTGCAGACATGGCTTGCAATGGCTTTCTTAGGGTGATATTTCTCCACAAATCTTTAAAACTCACTCCACTTTGCATGAATGTTCTTAATCACTGAAGAAGGCACATTCTCCCCTCTCTCTTCCTCCTCCTCCTTTGAAGCAATTGCCTCAGCTGCAGTCTGTTGCTATTCTAGTTGAAAGTCTTGCAGCTCTTCAGTGGTTAGCTCTTCCCTGTGGCCGTCCACCCAATGGACTTCCCCAAAGACATAACAGATTCCACAACAGGCGTAGGGTGATGCTCACTCAACGATAAACAAAGGCAGACTGAGTCACTCGGCACTTGAGTGGCCGAGTGACGCGGGAGGGCAGGCGGACGTGTTTGGTACTGACCATTTTCAACTCTACAAAAACCGAGGTGATGTACGAAAACTGTGACAAAATTTTGATGGAAAAAGTCATTGAAAACCGAATCCTATGATAACTGGGGCATACGAAAACCGAGGTTCCACTGTATGCTGTTGTAAGGGATTCTGTAAATCACTTCCAGTCTTATTATATTTGTATTGTTCATGACAAATTGAGTAAAAATTAAAAACAACAACAAAAAAAATTCTAACCACAATTGTTATGAATCTCTTGCACTAAATTTTGTAAAAATTAGGAACCAAAAATGCTGTACTAGGGAAAGTGGACACAACTTTGTAGTAACCACAGTAGATGCCCAAGCTTCAACCATCTATTATATAGTGATAAAGTAGGAATGGAATGAGTTACTTGATCATGTCAAGGCAAATATTTGTATAAATCAATTTTAGAATAGAGCTAAAGAATACTTTCATGTAAAATATGATTGTAATTTTTGCTTTATTATAAAAATTAATCAAAATGATATGCAACTGATATTCATGTAACATATGTTCATGTAACTGATATGTACACATGCTGTAGCCATTATTTACGTAACTGATATACAGTGGACCCCCGGTTAACGAACTTTTTTCATTCCAGTAGTATGTTCAGGTGCCAGTACTGACCGAATTTTTTCCCATAAGGAATATTGTGAAGTAGATTAGTCCATTTCAGACCCCCAAACATACACGTACAAACGCACTTACATAAATACACTTACATAATTGGTCGCATTTGGAGGTGATCGTTAAGCGGGGGTCCACTGTATTGTAACTGAGGGTTAGCCACCCAGGATAACCCAAGGAAGGCAGTGCATGATCGAAGGACTGTCTGTCTTATTTCCATCGGGTTCCTCAATCTTGTCCCCAAGAATGCGACCCACACCAGTCAACTAACACCCAGGTACAGTGGACCCCCGGTTCGCGATATTAATCCGTTCCTAAGAGCTCATCGTAAACCAAAATTATTGGAAAGCGAATCAATTTTCCCCATAAGAAATAATGGAAATCAAATTAATCCGTACAAGACACCCAAAAGTATGAAAAAAACAAACTTTTACCACATGAAATATTAAGTTTAATGCAATAGAATAATTACAATAACAACAATAACAATAGAATAATAACAATAGAATAATTGACACTTACCTTTAATGAAGACCTGGTGATGATTGATGGGATGGGAGGAGGGGAGTGTGTGGATGGTGTTAGTGTTTAGAAGGGGAATCCCCCTCCATTAGGACTTGAGGTAGCAAGTCCTTTTCTGGGGTTACTTCCCTGCTCCTGCTATCTCCTGCTATCTGTTTTTCATTTATCCACACCAATAACAGTCTCTCAACATTTTCTAACACTTGCGGTCGCTGTTTCGTAATCACAGTTGCACCTTTTGCAAAAACAGCTTCCTTGATTGCCCTTTTCCTGCTCACTATAGTAGAGATGGTTGATTGCGGTTTACTATACAACTTGGCCAGCTCCGACACACGCACTCCACTTTCGTACTTTGCAATTATCTCTTTCTTCATTTCAATAGTCATAAGCACCCTTGGTCTCGAAGGGTTGGCACTAGAAGCGTTCTTGGGGCCCATGGTGACTTATTTTGCAGAAACAAGCACCAAAAACAGTGATAATATGGAATGTACCGAATGTATCCTTAGATGCGCGCACACTGGCTGGCTTGTAAACACTGGCACACACGGGTCAGTTCAGGCCACACGTGGACAAGTCTCGTACGAATCGCATCGCATACCGGGTTTTGTAACGGGAATCGAGGCATATTTTTTGCGTTAAAATGCGTTGGATACCAGATTTATCGGATACCGATAGCATCGCGAACCGGGGGTCCACTGTACTTACTTGCTAGGTGAACGGGACATGTGTAAGGTAATATGCCAATGTTTTCACCCTTGCCGGGGTTCTAACCATGGACAGTGTGTTTGCAACATTGAAACAATTGAATACCCTAGCATAGTAATTAGCAGCACCTCTTTTTGTGTGATGTACAATTGTGGATAATTGTAGATCAAGAGGTAATTAAGTTTATTTAGGTACTGGTACACAAGTATAATTACCATACAGTGTTTAACATGTGTAAATTACCTAGGGTAAGCGAAAAGTCTGCCAAAGTGACTTATTTCCATTGGAGTCCTTGTAATATCCTAATATTAAAGCCTAGCTGTAAGTTATAGTAGAAACCAGTCATGTAATATTATAGTCTTAAAAATTAAGACAGCTAAATAACTCGACTATTTGATTTGATTTAATTGATTTAATCATGTTTCTGCTAGCTAATATGATAATGAAAATTTGGCAGTCAGTGACTCAAAGAATGTTTATAAATTAGTTTTGTGGTTGCACAAAGATCTCGTTGAAGATAAGTAAGTTTATTTAGGTAAAATTACATAATTTTTGGATGACCACAATTGTCTTACTCACTTACTAATTTCAGTGACTACAATTATCATACATTAAGTAAGTTTATTCAGGTACAGGTACATACAAATACAGTTACATAAATTATTATACATAGCAACATATGTGTAGATTACCTAGGATAACCCCAAAAAAGTCAAAGTGACATGAATTTCCATTGGGATCCTTGTAATATATTTAAGAGACTGAGCTCGGGGCCAATATTTGTATACATAAAGAAAAAAGTAATTAAACTTGATATTAAAAAACAATGATGAGGGAAATATAAAAACATCATTAATAACGAATATAAAAATTAGAGGCAGAAATTGTTAACTACTTGTAAAAAAAAAATACTGATGTATTATACCACAAAAAAGCTTCTAGGTGATAGATGTAGTGACTCGAAAAGCTATTCCAAGACAATAATTTCAACAGATGAATGGTTGTTCAGGACATATAATTGGTGTTTGTTGAGAGGTTGAGTATCCCAGCCGCCGCCGGTTGTTGTTGTTGTTGTTGTTGTTGTTGGGTTTATAGGGCCACTGTCACTGAAATTTAGAGACTAGTTGCTAAGAAGATTTAAGGCAAACAGACATGATATTGCAGCACTAAATGAATTCCAAAGGGTGAGGAACATAGTGCAGAGGCTTATAAAAGGAGCAAAAGCATGGTACTACTGCTCAAAAATCGAGGAGTACAAGAATAATCTTAGAAAGCTCTGGCAACAACTAAAACAACTGGGGTATAGTCACAAACCCGTAGAATGGCGTAGATAGATCTAACAGAACTAAATATCAATAACGAGGTATGCCACGAAACAACTAAAGCGACAAATTGTTTTAATTCCTACTACACATCTGTCGCATCAACACTAGTAAGTAAACTACCATTATTATTATAATAAAAAAGAAGCACTAAGCCACAAGGGGTATACGTACAGCGCTGCAAGTAAACTACCAGCTGCATCAAATACCTTTAACACAGACTCTGATAAGCTTAAAACATACTATACCGATAAAGAGGTAACCCCAAACAGTTGTAAGTTAGTTAGTGTATCTCATAGACTTCATGCAAAAAGAATTAAGCCGGTTAAACCCTACTAAGAGCACCTGCCCAGATAATATCCCGTCTAAGTTCCTAAAAGATGGTGCCTCTGAATTGCCAATCCTCATTACTCACATAATAAATTTGTCTATCACTACTAATACCGTACCAGAGAGGTCCAAGGAGGCCAGAGTTACTCCTATCTTCAAGAAATATAGTAGATCTGATGTCAGCACCTATAGGCCCGTTAGTTTACCTGGAGACTTGGAGAGAGTTCCGGGGGTCAACGCCCCCGCGGCCCGGTCTGTGATCAGGCCTCCTGGTGGATCAGAGCCTGATCAACCAGGCTGTTGCTGCTGGCTGCACGCAAACCAACGTACGAGCCACAGCCCGGCTGATCAGGAACCGACTTTAGGTGCTTGTCCAGTGCCAGCTTGAAGACTGCCAGGGGTCTGTTGGTAATCCCCCTTATGTGTGCTGGGAGGCAGTTGAACAGTCTTGGGCCCCTGACACTTATTGTATGGTCTCTTAACGTGCTAGTGACACCCCTGCTTTTCATTGGGGGGATGGTGCATCGTCTGCCAAGTCTTTTGCTATCGTAGTGAGTGATTTTCGTGTGCAAGTTCGGTACTAGTCCCTCTAGGATTTTCCAGGTGTATATAATCATGTATCTCTCCCTCCTGCATTCCAGGGACTACAGGTTTAGGAACCTCAAGCGCTCCCAGTAATTGAGGTGTTTTATCTCCGTTATGCGCGCCGTGAAGGTTCTCTGTACATTTTCTAGGTCGGCAATTTCACCTGCCTTGAAAGGTGCTGTTAGTGTGCAGCAATATTCCAGCCTAGATAGAACAAGTGACCTGAAGAGTGTCATCATGGGTTTGGCCTCCCTAGTTTTGAAGGTTCTCATTATCCATCCTGTCATTTTTCTAGCAGATGCGATTGATACAATGTTATGGTCCTTGAAGGTGAGATCCTCCGACATGATCACTCCCAGGTCTTTGACGTTGGTGTTTCTCTCTATTTTGTGGCCAGAATTTGTTTTGTACTTTGATGAAGATTTAATTTCCTCATGTTTACCATATCTGAGTAATTGAAATTTCTCATCGTTGAACTTCATATTGTTTTCTGCAACCCACTGAAAGATTTGATTGATGTCCGCCTGGAGCCTTGCAGTGTCTGCAATGGAAGACATTGTCATGCAGATTCGGGTGTCATCTGCAAAGGAAGACACGGTGCTGTGGCTGACATCCTTGTCTATGTAGGATATGAGGATGAGGAACAAGATGGGAGCGAGTACTGTGCCTTGTGGAACAGAGCTTTTCACCGTAGCTGCCTCGGACTTTACTCTGTTGACGACTACTCTCTGTGTTCTGTTAGTGAGGAAATTATAGATCCATCGACCGACTTTTCCTGTTATTCCTTTAGCACGCATTTTGTGCGCTATTACGCCATGGTCACACTTGTCGAAGACTTTTGCAAAGTCTGTATATATTACATCTGCATTCTTTTTGTCTTCTAGTGCATTTAGGACCTTGTCGTAGTGATCCAATAGTTGAGACAGACAGGAGCGACCTGTTCTAAACCCATGTTGCCCTGGGTTGTGTAACTGATGGGTTTCTAGATGGGTGGTGATCTTGTTTCTTAGGACCCTTTCAAAGATTTTTATGATATGGGATGTTAGTGCTATCGGTCTGTAGTTCTTTGCTGTTGCTTTACTGCCCCCTTTGTGGAGTGGGGCTATGTCTGTGACCAGGCCTCCTGGTGGATCAGAGCCTGATCAACCAGGCTGTTACTGCTGGCTGCACGCAAACAAACGTACGAGCCACAGCCCGGCTGGTCAGGAACCGACTTTAGGTGCTTGTCCAGTGCCAGCTTGAAGACTGCCAGGGGTCTGTTGGTAATCCCTTTTATGTATGCTGGGAGGCAGTTGAACAGTCTCGGGCCCCTGACACTTACTGTATGGTCTCTTAACGTGCTAGTGACACCCCTGCTTTTCATTGGGGGATGTTGTATCGTCTGCCAAGTCTTTTGCTTTCGTAGTGAGTGATTTTCGTGTGCAAGTTCGGTACTAGTCCCTCTAGGATTTTCCAGGTGTATATAATCATGTATCTCTCCCGCCTGCGTTCCAGGGAATACAGGTTCAGGAACCTCAAGCGCTCCCAGTAATTGAGGTGTTTTATCTCCGTTTTGCGCGCCGTGAAGGTTCTCTGTACATTTTCTAGGTCAGCAATTTCACCTGCCTTGAAAGGTGCTGTTAGTGTGCAGCAATATTCCAGCCTAGATAGAACAAGTGACCTGAAGAGTGTCATCATGGCCAGGCTTGAAACACCTTTTATTGTACAGCAATAAAGGAATGGAACAGACTGCCTGCACATGTCAAAGCCAGTCATAGCATGAACCAGTTCAAGAAGAGAACCAAAAGGTGTCTGATGAATGTAGCTACAGAAAAGGAGGGGAATGAGTTTTTATTTTTTAGCTAACACACGTTATTTCTTATTCCTAGTAATGACCCTCGTATTGTAGATAAGTCTTAATGACCCTCGTGTAGTAGATAGTCTTTTTAGTATGATAATAAGATATTATCTTCATTATAGAATAATAATAAGATATTATAGCCTTCATATTATAATAATAAGGTAAAAGGACCCCAATTATAAAGTCACTTAAAAATAACTCAGGGAATCTGTCTCATGTCCCACCATTACTGTACAAGCGAGCGGCCCATGTCCTTTCGCATGCTATTTCATTACTTTTTAACAAGTCACTAGAAACTAGCACCTTCCCGAAACTACTCAAGATGGCAAGGGTTACACCAATACATTAAGGTGGTGACCCTACAGACTTAAACAACTATAGGCCAATATCAAACTTACCATTGCTATCCAAAATCTTTGAGAAACTCGTGCACAGGAGACTATATTCATTTATAACGGCACAAAACATACTCAACCACTGCCAATTTGGATTCAGGAAAAATAAAAGCACTAATGATGCAATCATAAAAATGCTAGATCTGCTTTACACAGCATTGGAAAATAAGGAATATCCACTAGGAATTTTTATTGACCTAAGAAAAGCTTTTGACACAGTAGACCACGACATCCTACTTCACAAAGTTGACCATTACGGTATAAGAGGCCATGCGCTTGCTTATTTCAAATCTTACCTTACTAATAGGTATCAGTATGTCACCATTAAAGACACAGCATCAACAACACGGCCACTTGATACTGGAGTTCCGCAGGGAAGTGTCCTTGGTCCCCTGCTCTTCCTCATATACATCAATGATCTTCCAAACGTATCCCAACACCTGAAACCCATTCTCTTTGCTGACGACACGACTTATGTCATCTCTCACCCTAATCTTGCCACCCTCAACACCATTGTTAACGAGGAGCTGATCAAAATATCGACTTGGATGACAGCCAATAAATTTACGCTTAACACTGACAAAACCTACTATATTATGTTTGGTAGCAGAGCAGGAGATGCACAAATTAACATTAAGTTCGACAACACTCTAATTACCAGACATAATGAGGGCACATTCCTAGGCCTGTACCTTGACAACAACCTGAATTTCAGCACCCATATCCAACACATAATCAAAAAAGTATCCAAAACGGTTGGGATCCTCTCCAAGATACGATACTACGTGCCGCAAAATGCCCTTCTCACACTATACCACTCACTTATTTATCCATACCTCACCTATGCTATTTGTGCTTGGGGATCAACTGCAGCAACACACCTAAAGCCAATAATAACCCAACAAAAAGCTGCAGTAAGAATAATCACCAAATCCCATCCCTGGCAACACACTCCCCCACTCTTCATAGATCTAAACTTACTCCCTGTTCAGTACATCCACACTTACTACTGTGCAATCTACATCTACAGGACCTTAAACTCCAATATCAATCTTGACCTAAAACGCTTTCTTGATAGTTGTGACAGAACCCACAGGCATAACACCAGACACAAACATCTCTACAACATTCCCCGTGTCCGACTAAACCTTTACAAAAATTCAATGTATGTCAAAGGCCCTATAATCTGGAACACCCTACCTGAGAACTCTAGAACTGCAGACACATTCATCACCTTCAAAACTACCATTAGAAAACATCTTATCTCCCTGATACACCCCGTCAACTAACTACACGAATATCACCTGGTGGTTCACACTTACACTCACTCACCCATTTAACCATAAACATAAATATTAATCTCAATCTTAAAATAATGAATCCTGTGATACTCCAATACTGAAATTATGTACTGTGCCAAAACAAAAGCATTCACATTGCTAAAATCACAAACTAGTATTTAGTCACTTAGCCATAATACCAACTTACCTCATAATTTGTAATAGTACTTTAAAATTAAGAATTAAACTAAGTCTGCCCGAAATGCCTAGCCATGCTAGGTGTTCTAGTGGTACACTCTGTAATCATTATTTTACTACATGTAAACCACACAATAACCAAATTCTGTAAACTCAGCATTGTAATCCTTATAGAGAATTGAATGCAAATAAGTCACTTAGTTTGACTTTTTTGGGTTAAACTAGGGATGCCAAGCCCATGATGACACTCTTCAGGTCACTTGTTCTATCTAGGCTGGAATATTGCTGCACACTAACAGCACCTTTCAAGGCAGGTGAAATTGCTGACCTAGAAAATGTACAGAGAACCTTCACGGCGCGCATAACGGAGATAAAACACCTCAATTACTGGGAGCGCTTGAGGTTCCTAAACCTGTATTCCCTGGAACGCAGGCGGGAGAAATACATAATTATATACACCTGGAAAATCCTAGAGGGACTAGTACCGAACTTGCACACAAAAATCACTCACAACGGAAGCAAAATAATTGGCAGACGATGCAACATCCCCCCACTGAAAAGCAGGGGTGTCACTAGCACGTTAAGAAACAATACAATAAGTGTCAGGGGCCCGAGACTGTTCAACTGCTTCTCAGCATACATAAGGGGGATTACCAATAGATCCCTGGCAGTCTTCAAGCTGGCACTGGACAAGCACCTAAAGTCAGTACCTGGCCAGCCGGGTTGTGGCTCGTACGTTTGTTTGCGTGCAGCCAGCAGTAACAGCCTGGTTGATCAGGCTCTGATCCACCAGGAGGCCTGGTCACAGACCGGGCCGCAGGGGCGTTGACCCCCGGAACTCTCTCCAGTTATCCTAGGTTCTCTACACATATGCTGCTATGTATGATGATCTAGGTAACTGTATTTGTGTATACCTGAATAAACTTGCTTACTTATTCTTGTAATCTCTCTCTACCTGGGGGCGGCCCAGAGACCTTTAGTTAGTTTAATATCTTTATTATGCACCCCATACCGATCCTGTGGGTGGTAGTCAAAAGATTACAGAGGTACATAATGGGTCCAGGACTGAGCCCCAAAGTTTTGATAGATAACAAGTTACGAAGATAATGAACTCCAAGAGACCGTAATGTATCTTTACACCCAACAACAACAGTAACAACTGTTACTCTTTAATAATATGTAAAATTAAGCCATTTCCCTTGAATTATACCTATACTTTACTTAAACACATTTACGTTATATATTTTTTTGCTTTTCTCCATGCATCTATAACAAGCAGTAGGTGTGATAGCGGAAAATATTAGTGAGGTAGGCGGAGACGGGAGGTCGAGCTGGTGTCATGGCTGAGGAAGCTATCTTCGATTTTATTCACATGGAAGCTGTGTCCTATGCCTTCCAGGGTGGTGAAAAGATGTCGGAAGTGAGTATATTATTTCTATGGCGGAGGCGGTCATTGTATAGAGGCTATAGTGTTTAGTCCCAGGGAGGTGCCTGGTAACTGGTCATAGGCTGTTGATCCAAGGAATTGGAGCTCCTCTTCCCCTCTTTGAATTAAATTTAATTGCCTTTAATTCCTCAGGTACTGTACGACCCATATTGGTTAAGCACTTCATCCTAAGTACAATAATGACAATGATCAGATTGCAGCCCGTGGAAATAGTTACTTTATCTGGCTTTCTTGAGTTATCCTGGGTAATCTACACATATGCTGCTATGTATGATAATTTATGTGACTGTACTTATGTGTACCAGTACCTGAATAATTTTTACTTAGCCCATTGTTGTGATGGTAGTCCATGACATTTTATTATTTTATCTGTCTGTTTCCTTACTTTCTCTTCCTTTTCCATCATCATTTCCCACCCTGCCACTTATTCTGTCCTTTCTGCTCTGATCTAGTAAACTTACATTTTGTCTTCAGTGATGATATAAGATAAGATATAATAAGATTTTAGATTTTTAACCTGGGGGAGGGTTAGCCATCCAGGATTACTCAAAGTCATAACATTATCGATGACTGTCTGTCTTATTTCCAATGTGGTCCTTCATTCTTGTCCCACAGGATGTGACTCACTCCAGTCTTCTAACAACCAAGTACCAACATACTAGGTGAAGATATAAAAATGGGGACAACAGGTGTAAGGAAACGTGCCCAACTTTTCCACCCATCTAGGGGATCAAACCGTGGACACTTATTGTATGGGGGAGTGGCATTGCCAACTGAGCAGCATGCAAAAAAAAAAAAAAAGGATGTTTATGATTATTTTTTCTCAGAACTCATGTAATGACTAATATAATTTAGCAAATAAACTGTTGCTTATTTTTTCCTCTTTTTTTTTTTTTTTTTCCTTAGGATGAAGCCATCTCAAAACTGGAACATATGGGTTTCGCCACTGGCTATAGACTTGTTGAAAGGTACGAAGTATGCATCAGCTAATAAAACATTGTAATTTTCATGTAAACCATAATTAATTCTTATGTATCAGTATCATCATCTAATGAACTATATTACCCTATAATATGATGGCTTCTTTAAAAACCTCTCATTCCAAAACCTCCCATTAATTTATATTTTTTTGCTTTGGAATGAGGTACGTATTTAAATATTTTCCATTTAGGGCATACCATATAGATTGTAGTGTTTACAATTCTTTTTATTTCTGATGCATTTGTTTTGTAGTATGTTTGAGAGCAACCATCCAGGGAGGTACTGCAGGCAAGCATGTCATTTGTGTAAAATACCAGCCAGAAGGACTATTGTCGCACCCTGCGTCTTTATGTACTGGAGTGCGATAAAATTAATGAATTTAGACAACTCACTCATAAATGTTCGAGAAATGGGAAAGTATTTTATCCAGTGGTATATTACAGACCAATCTGGAGAAATACCCTGACTTTGCTCACTGTAAATAAAGCATTACCACGTGTGTGCATGCTTGTGCATGTGTGTGTGTGCGTGCCTTTGTGTGGGTGCATGACCCACTTAATATCTGTATTTATAACTCATTACAATTGTGACTGGGTGTGGACGTGTCTGTGGCTCATTACTTTGTAATTTGTTCATGATTGTAACCATGTATAGGAATGCAGATGGTTCATTACCTTTGTAACTTGCCATGATTGTGATCAGATCTACCTGGAGTTCATTACCTTGTAACTTGCTCAGCTATCAAAACTTTGAGGCCCAGTCCCTGGACCCATTATGTACCTCTGTAATCTTTTGACTACTGCCCACAGGATGGGTATGGAGTGCATAATAAAGATATTAAACTTAAATGTTTTGCAGTTCAGTAGTTTGCTGGTATTTTCTTCCTATATGGTGAATATGTGACAGGTAAATCTTATTAACTTCTGCTTACGTTCAGTATATTCTTACCTTTATTTCTTTGTGCTTCTTAATACAGTGTATTTATTATTATGTTAAGCAAGTCTGTAAAACAACAGAGCTGTAGTGGGATTCTCTTACTAGGTAGTTGAGAAATGCAATAAAAGGACAAAGGCTTCTGGAATGAAACTGGAGTGGAGAAATAATATGCTGAAATGTTTAAGTCTATAATTCTGTGCAGCAGCAGTAATGCTCCTGAACTGCAGAAATTTGTGTACATACTAGACCCAAATCTCCCATCAAGGCTAATAATAATACTGTTATATCTGTATGTCTTTGGCAAGACAGTGATAGTGTGAATGATGGTGAAAATGTTCCTTTGGTGGGAGTCAGCCAGTGGGTTAAAAAAAATTATTATTAGTAGTAGTAGAAGTAGTAGTAGTAGTAGTATTAAACATTTTAAATTTTATGCCTGTCTTAAACTATGTAAGCTATAAGACCGAAATTTCAGGGTTTGGGGGTAACATACTCCCTGTGGTGTTAACAGTAACATTCATCAGGGGATTTAGGCATTATTATTTAAATCGGTTGTGAAATCAGTGATTGCCTCAAATCCAAGTGACCCCCCTCACAAGTTTCCATATGTATTGTAGGGGTATAATGGATGCGGTGAGACCTTACATAATGGAGAGGAAGAGATAGTGTATTGTTAATTCTTAAGAGCATGAACTATGGAAATTCTGTCTATAAACAGAAAAAAGTGAAGTTTTTGGACAGAAAGTAGGCTGGAGATACATTAAGGGTGTGAGAGCTAGAAAGAGAGCCTTAGCTTGTATTCTCTTGAGCAGTAAAGATGAAAAGGAACATGTTCCATAAGCAAGAAACTGTTCAAGTTTATTGAGATGTGTGAAACCTTTATAAAGTTGAAGAGAGTAAAAGTACAACTACATCTTAAATCATGGTGCTTATTTTCTTTCAACAGATTAACCAGAGAATCAGGGAGGTACAAAGATGAATTGGATATCATGAAATACATTTGCAAGGACCTTTGGGTAACAGTTTATAAGAAGCAGATTGATAATTTACGAACAAATCACCAGGGTGTGTACGTCCTCCATGACAACAGGTTTCGCTTTCTCTCTCGTATGGCTGCTGGAAAGCAGTATCTTCAGTATGCACCACGAGTAAGTTCAGGCATAACATTTGCACTGGTGTCAGGAATTGTGACAACCTATATGAACACTAATTTAAAATTAATGCACAGTATTTATTATACTTTGAGTTACTGTTTTTTGATAATTAGGGATATTAAACATTAGACTGGTAATATACTCTAAAAACAAGACTAAAAAAAGAGTATACATATATATATATATGTATATGCTATAACTAATTACTAAAAGAGCTAACAATTTAATCATTATTCTAATCAGAGGATCCAAACAATTATGGTACTTAAAATTAAATGAAATAAAATCAAACATAAAAACACTTGGAAAACTAGGATCATTTAAAAACTAAACAAACTAAAACTAATGAATATTGAATTCTTAGTTGATGAGATGGAGGTTTGAAGCATGCATTTTCTCATCTTTTTGGTTTTTACTTTCCAGTATCTAGCCTTCACTTGTGGACTTGTACGTGGATGCCTAGCTAACCTTGGTGTTACATGTGTGGTCACAGCAGAGGTTACACAACTCCCTGCATGCAAATTCCAAATTCAAGTTCAACGAGGGTGATTTTTCACATTGATGATTATTTATATATAGTATAAAATATATATATAGTTTTCATTATATATTAATTATTTCACAAACTTTGTATTCCTAAAAAGAAAACAGAGTTCTTGTATTATTCAATGTTCATGTTGAATTGTACATTTAAAAATGTCTCATCAGTATTATATAACTCTATTGTATCATACAGTGCCTGAAGAACAGAAGGTAATCAGGCCTGAAGATTATTATTATTATTACTACATTTACAAAATAGCATTAAGCACATATGGTCATTACTTGGAGTTTACCCGGAGGGGGTTTCGGGGTCAATGCCTCCGCAGCTCGATCTGAGACCATGTCTGCATCACCAGAAAAAATTAAATTGAATAAAACTGCTTTGAAAAGTTGTTTAATGCTTAGCCAACAAATGACAAAGAAAAGGCGTATTACATTCGTGGAAAGTGCTAAACTTGTGCAGGTCGTTCATTGCTGCACAGGAAGGGTGTTAATTATTTTCATGTCTAGGGACCCGAGGGTTTCAAAACCCATGACTAATAAAATTTAATTCAGGGAAAAACACCAAACTGGGGGTCATTCAGCACTGTGTAAAAGTTATTATAATCAGGAAAAGTAAAAAACCATGGGGTCATACAAAATCCTGGGTATTAAGAAATGATCAGATTTTATAAGGGGTGCCCGTGCCCAAATTCCCTTTAAATTTTTTTTTTTTTTTATATTTTATTTAAAAAACCTAATCAGTTTAACATAAAAATAAAGAAACAGTATGGATCTAAATAAAATTTAATGACAAACGGATTGCACCTATATGAAAACGAAAGAAATTGCGCCAAACATACAACAAGAACTTACGGCAAGAACAAACAAAAAAAAATACTGTACGGGGCATAAAATTGCTATAAACATTTTTAAATGCAAAACCTTGCAATAATAACTTGTACATATAACATGACATCACAAAGGTCAATACCTTGAACATAAAAATATACAAAAGTTATTCATTTTAAATCCCACCCTTTCACATTAAAAAAACCCAAAAACCAAACATCAAAACCTTACTAAAAACATTACATTGTATCCCTAACATACAGCTTTACATACCCCAACATCGAAAAAAAAAAAAGTCCAGATTGTCTGTATACCATACAGACTAAAACTTAACTTCAAAAAACTTAGCATTGACCCCCAAACGGTATCAGGGTAAAGACCAAATTTAAACTTTAAAAAGAATCGAGTCATACATATATAAAGTATTACATAACGTCTGACCATGACAAGGTCAATACAATAGAAAAGGGATTATTATATACACACCCCCACACACACCCCCCCCCCAAACCACACACCCAAAAAACCCACACCCCACACCCCACCCACACACCCACACCCACACACACACACAACACAAAACAACACCCCACACAAAAACAACAAAAAGTTTCACAAAATCACTTTAATCAAATCACGTATCACAAAGCAAAACAGTATCTAAGTATATCTCATCGTATAACCGCACGTAACAAATACAAACTAAAACACCTTCATATCGAAAAATAACTTACATCAAGAATCTGCTTTCAAACTGTCCATCAATTATACAAAAAAATCTACTATATTATCCCTACATTCGAAAGTGTTATCTAAAAATGAGACCTTGAGCCTACATCCACACTTGGCTGCCATAAAATCCAATGAAAACCAGGAACCTTTCCAAAACCCAATTCACAACACTTCACGCCCCCCCTCCAAAGGAGCGAGCCTGTTTCCCCCCCTGACTCCCCCCAACCCTATGAAAACCCCCTTCACTCATCATTATCAACAAGATTTAAGAAAATCCCTAACGTTACTTTCTTCCCCCTTGAGAAACCCTGATCCCCCCTCCTCCCTAAAAATCTCGTTAGACACATCTACGATAGAACTTTCGAAAGAACCTTTTTCTCTTCACTATCCCCCCCCCCCCCTACCCACGAATAATATATAATCTCCCATGATATAATCTAAAGCTCTTATGCACCCCGTCTAACCCACCCGTACTAGACTTAAAAGCACGCAGAACCGACACCCCCCTGGCCCCCACCCTCTGTACCAACTAACCTCCTCTAGCCCTTCACAAAAGTAAACTACATGGAAGCAGTCTCATCCCCTCCACAGATACCAACCCCCCACCCTCACAAACCCGCTGTTGTAGTATCGCACCAGAGGGAGATCCCTGCAGGAAACGAAACATCAAACCCCACTGTCCGAGGGTTTAACTTCATTTTTTTAAAAACTAAAAAACCAAATACTCTTCCATGCATACATTGGGGGAACAAACCCCAACTGGGTTTTAAAGCACCTACCCACAAGTAACCTAACAAAACCCTTATACGAACCTTTGTCGTTCCTTAACCAACATCACAGCCCTCAAAACGAATCACATTCCCTCAACTCCATTCCTGATACCACACCCTACCCGTTGTGTAAACATTTTCCCAACTGCCCTGGTTTACACCCTCACGCAACACTTCCCATTTAATAAAACCACATTTACCCCCGTCTCAAATCCACAACCCAACCCACCCTGACTTAAAGGTAACATTACAACTTCCCTCCATAACCAAACCAAAAGTGAACCCCAAAAAATTTTTACACCCGTCTTAAATTTCCCCCCAAACGGCCCTGAATTGGGGAAAACAGCTCAACAGCCAAATTTACTTGAAAAAAAATGTTTACGACTATCACTCGCGTATAAAGTTAGGGGCTGGGGTCTCAGAACACCTAGACCCCCACGATCCTTTCCTAACCTATCCCGGTTTTCCCCCCCGCGCCGAACCTTTTCATCCTTTTAAATAAAACCCCAAATCTTTAAAGACATCGCCCATTCTTTAACAACATTACATCTCCCCCCACACACCCCCACCCAAGAACCCCAACCCCAGCACCTTGACTTCGCATATTTTCCTGCATACCCGTGGAATTCCCAAAAAATTTCACAAACCTCGTCCAACCTCCATTGGCATCCCCTTTACGAATACACAGTGGTGTCTCAACGTATCCAATTAAACCCGGCAGGGCCCCCCCAGCCCCACACTTTCCCCCACAAGGCGTACATAACGCGGTCAACCATTCTATAAAAAGGGTCCTGGAAAAACGCAAACAATATTTGGGCAGGGGATCCCTGTCTAAAGGCCTCTACCCCTTCAATATCCCTTCCCATACACCCATTAAATTTTATCCTCATTTTTGCCCCCCTTTTATAGGATTTAACCCCCTCGACTATTTCCCCCCCAAAACCCGTTCCCAAGTTAACCTAAAGTCCCCTTTTCCCCTCTATCATATCTCCCGCCCCGTTAAGCCACAAAGCTGCCCCTTCACCCCCACCCTTCTTCCACAAAATTCTCAGTATCCCATGTTTAATTTATCGACCCTTTCCCCGGGAACCCAACTGAGATTTTGACACGACCCTTCCCACAACCATTTTAAAACCCTTTACCTAAATTTTTGGAAAACCTTTATAGTCTGCACACAGCAGTGATAAGGCTCGGTACTCCCGAAGGGTGGGCTGCCCCCCTTGACCTTCGGGCCAACGCTACACTGCTGTTACCTCTTCTCCCCCAACGTACCTTCTCCTCATACGATTAAATAACCTAACTATAAATCCCCTTATTAACGTCCAATGTTGTAATAAAAAAAATATTTTTCTACGGGAGACCGTACAATACCCGGCACTTTCCCTTCCTCATTCCCCTTAACCGCATTCTCTATTTCCCACTCTGCCGTAATAGTCCCCACCCTAAACCTTTCTATCACTAGTTCCTAAATCACACGTCACATACAACACACCTTGTCCAACGCACAACGTCACCCAACCCTCCCACTGTTCCAGTACTTCTCGTACCAAGCCTCCGCATGAACGGGCACACATCCGCCTTCCGTGGTCGTAACTCCTGCCCCGCTCTATAATTTCCCACCAAGCTCCGTTACCTCTAAACATGGGATACTGTCACCGCCTGCCTTTGCTTATGCTGCCCGCAAACAAAAACACAATCTGACGGCTTGTCGCCCCAAAGCAGCCTCTTCCACCCTCTGCCTGCACCTTATCAGCTTGAAACCTTTCATTTGCAACAACCCTCAACCCTCCCCTTATTGTCAGCTATTTCATCGCATTAGGAAAATTATTCCTCACCTACCCCCCCGCCCATAGCAAACCTCTCTAACTTATCCTCTAAATAGTTAGCCAGTCCATAATTTAAATATTAATAACGTTTTCCTTCTCTCCACATAATACCTTTCTAATCCTTTCCTTTGAAACACATCCCACCATTTCACAAAGTCATCCATTCCCTGTTTCTTCCCATTTTATCATTCCACACAAGGCTCCCTCATAGGACTGAAAAAACCCCCCTCCAACCCCTCCTCCATCACCAAATACAACTTATATTTATTTCCAATAACTTCTATATATGTCCACGAGCGTCCCCCACCCACCTCCACCCAACCCACCTCTGCCCTATGATCGACATTGTAGCCTCCACAGTACTGAAAGATTCACATCACTCCCTGTAAAGGTACACCTCTATCTAGTCTCTCGAGCATATCCACCCTAACAAACGTTATTCAGTCTCCCACACACCGCCCCCCCCCAAGTGCATATCGTAAACCTAACATCCCTTAATAATCCCTAAGAGCCACAGACATTATCCTGCCGCCCCTTTTTGGTCCACAATCAGCCACCCTGATTACACTATTTCCAATCCCACCAACCATTGTCACCTTTGGCAGTGCACTAAAAAAACACAAGATCCTCCACACACAAAATCAATCTTTTTCCTTGATGTTATTTTCTGCCTAGCGCATACACACTCACAAAAGACACAACGCTTACCCATCCACCACCCATCCACACGCAACCACCCTCCCTCCCCCCTACTCCCTCGCTTTCTCTGGCAAAACAAACAGAGCTCGTTCCCTTATTAAAATTCCCACCCCACCCTTTTAGAACGGGGATATGGCAGGTTAACTACTCGAAATCCTGCCACCTCCGACACCCTACCCTAAAAAACCCTCTTTAAAATTGTGCTCCTGCTGGAACACAACATCCTCTCTATGACTAATTAGTTCAGGAAAATTACGAAACCACTCTCTCTTGCATAACGCTACATAACCCATACATTTGCAGACATACACCTAAGGCCTATTAAAGTTTCCACCACTTGCTTCCACTCAATCACGTCTTTACAACTCCAGAGCTTGAATTTAAGTTTGACACCTTCAGAGTGCTCTCTTTTTCCTCCCCCCTTCTTCCTTTGGCCTCCTATCATGGCTACCACCACCACACCACTACCTTCACACTTCACCTAGTCTGTTTTCCCCAGGCCTTTTTGTGGCAGGCGTAAGGACGTCATCG